ATCTTCACGACATCGATGTACATAGACTTGGAATAGCCGGAGAAAGATCAACGTGTCGATGAGACTCAAAGGGAGAGGAGTGTAAGTGACGGTCTCCTGACCGTTCCTGACGCCGCTTCGTGTTCGAATCCCCCTCGGCATCTTCGCCTCCCGTCCCGCCCATTCGATCGGCTCTCCGACTATCTGAAACAAGGCGTCTGGAATGTAAACATGTGTCGTGATTACTGGGAATCTGATCCCCAACTAGATAACAGAAATGTAAAAAGCATGATATACCTAAGTTTGAACACTCTCACCGTTACAGGACCATCACAAATGAACTTTTTCCCATCAGGAAAAAACAACTTGAAAACCATCAAGATAAGGAAGGCAAATGTCAGCACATGAAAGACACTTTATTCCACTCGGTTCAGTTGCACCCACTGGAGAAAGTGACCCACTTTTCTCGATGTCTTTTTTTTCATCAAGAGCGCCTTACGCATTTTTTGCTTGACGGTGAACTTGGGCTTTCTGATCACCTTCCAAACAGACAACGAGGTTCAAAGACGGTCGGATTTCCATACAGGACTTGGTGGAGTTTGCTAAAGATAATGCGCATGTCTCTGTAGGGCTGCAGCGAAGGACGTCCAGCACTTGTTGTTTGGTTCCATAGGCTTCAAGATTCTTGATGAAATTATCCATAACTGCGTGATATCGGCCCAGATTTCGCGCGATTTTGCGATTCGACAGTCCCTGCTCCTTTTTCGCGGGAATCTGACCTTTGTCAAACTCTGGAAGCAATTTTTCTCTTCCCATTGCTTGAAAATGAAGAATATTACATAAACAAAGCAATCTCGTTGCGCTGAACTGAAACACGACACGAAGACATGAAGTGGCTGTATCATTTGGAGGCGTTGGAAAAGCACCCTTTACTGAAAAATTGATCAAAAAAATTGTTTGTGTTTTCGAGCTGGAATTTGGTGATAATGTGCGAGCAAAATGCCAAAGTGCCATTGAGCAAATTACAAAGTGTAGCATTTAAAAAGCAAAAGACGATGTCAATAAGCTGAATATTTAAGATAACCCCTTGTGTATTTCCGTCAACTCCAATTGATGGCATCTTCCAACGCATCTGCAAAAAAGGGGCTTCCTTGAAGGATTTCTGACTTTTACTCTCGCTCCCTTGGACGGGGTAAACATCTCCATAGCATGAGCTCGAATGAAACTTATAGATTGTGTAGAGACGACCCAAAAAAAAAGAAAAATTTCGATTGAAATCCACTGTGGATAGTACCAACCTACTGTCAACTAAAACTTTCTGAGTCTTAGACGAGAATTACGTCCAAACTGTTATGCTTAGGTGTGATTGAGGCCAATTTGGTGCTCAACCAACTGACTTGCAATGGTGTGCTGGAAGGAATTCGTATTTGCCGTAAAGGATTCCCTAACCGCATGCCCTATGTTGACTTCAAGCAAAGGTAAAGACACTTTCCTACTGGAGAGTAGCTCGCTTTTTGATCCGATTCAGATACGCTGTGCTTGCTGCCGATGTCGCTAAGAAAGCAAAGACGGAAAAGGAAGCTGGTGAGGGAATCGCGGCCGCTCTCACTGCCAAGGGTTCCATTAAAAATGAAGACTTCCAATGTGGACTTACCAAGGTATTACTATCGTTTTGGTTACTTTTGCTTCACATGAAGGCAGTTCTATCGGGGACCATTCGACAGCCCCTCGCACAGAACCGTTTCCTACTTCTCTTGATATCTCACTAAGGCAACTGATAAAATTTGAGCGGAAGACATCTGTTTTGTGTACGCCTCCTACTGACCTGTCTTGGTAGCACCAGTGTGTTCAGTCTGACAGGACCCGCAAAAGTGAAGGGAAAGGAATAAGTTCGAGCTATTTTGGCTTATCTTTCTCCCCAACTCGTGAGGAAATCAAAATTTATTCCAGTTGCGATAATCATTAATTTGATAATCCTGTATTCAATTCTACATGTGTTCCTACATTCCAGTACAAATTACTCCGTAGTGGTGCTATGGAACCTCTAGAGAAGGATTTTTCACGTCTATTTCATAGCAGGGCTCTGGCACCCAAGTACCTAACACAAAATTTTTGCTTCTTCTCGCAAAGCGGGGATTTGTGACTGCCCAGCATCATTACCGTCTGTCATAGCGTCACAAACGAAGTCGTAGTTCCGAAAAGAAAAGAGCTCATATTTAAGAACTCTTCACCATTACTCACTGTTAAGTGAGTCGGTCTCAAAGTTCACTTGTTTGGAAGCTGTGCTCCACCGCAGCAGGACCGCATCTTTCAGGCGTATGAACGATTCTCCCAATCTTATGGTCATGGAAACGCCGTGTAGAGAGCATGATACTGGCTAACGTCGACATACCGCTGACAGTTCACGAATTCGATTCACTGTCTTTCTGATAATACAAATAGAATTATAGAAAGGGCTTCGGAAATTTCTACCTGTGATGAGTCAACCTATGGTCCCCTATTTCGCCTTCTGAAAAAGGTCGCAACAAAAGCAGCTTAGACATGGCTCAAAAAAGCTCAAAAATCGGTACGGACACCGCCTACCATGGCCCACCAAGAACACCGGTAGAAGCTACGCTAAGAGATTCCTGCAGCGTAATCGAAACAAAGCGCATTTGTTGTAAAAGTAGATCGATGCGTAAGTGTGATAGCGATTGAAATCTCGTCCAGACACGACATCCATTGTCACGACACAACATTCTACATGACCAGCGATGAACTGCCTGGGGCGAGGATGGTTTTCGAGATCCATGTAATTATGTTCCCTTTTACTGCCTCTATCGCGGATTCACAACTTGTTGCGCCGTCATAAGCGTTATTGTTAGCTGGATCCTTCTCGATCTAGCGCTGTCCTGCTTCGACTACGGTTAACACGCTTGGGGAATTACACTGGAACTACAAAACCATAGAATTAATGTGAACGAAGAGAATCCTTTGCAAATTTCTTGCCTTATGTTTTACATTAAGTCAGCATATTCTTAATGCACGCCAACTTTCACACCGAACTACTGACTTTGCGAAAGGTATCTGTCGAAAACTTCACTGAAGTGGTGAATTTGCCGGGAAGCTTCCATGAGGTTTATACTTAATGGTACCACCGAGCTAGAGTGGTTGATGATGGTTGATGCGAACAGTGCCAAATTAGAAGCTTTTCAACTCTCTCTACTCTATTTTCTGAAGGTTTTATCGCTATGCGCTTGAGAAGAGCTAGATGAGGTCCATCCTGCTACGAAGGAAAGATGTTATTATTCTCACAATCAGTCAATGACCTCTAAACATGATCGTATTGGTTAGGGGACTAATAAACAACAACCGAGTAAACAACGTCGATAGACCTCCATTTCGTAACACTTTCCTCATCACGGGGACTTTTTGCGGGTTGACGCACAAAACGGCATGCAAACAGATACACAAAGTTATAATATGTCTCTTTGAATGTCGTTTGTTTGTGTTTGTATTCCGACATAGGATATAATGACCGAATTATCCATCCAAATTCCATATGCGATATCTTACAAGTGTAAATCTGGCGATTCCGCTGCCGAAGCCCCTTGATAGTTGCGTTTACTAATCGGCCCTGAGGCCCGTCCAAGTAGTCTGCTCTCCTAGTTCTAGCGCTTCAAAGCCTTTGGAAACAAACTTGATGATGAGGTCTGTCTTGGCCGATTTATATCGCTGGGCGAACTGAAAAATCTGGCGCAACAACAACAATATGAAGGCGTGTTCTATTTCGCTGAGGGACGATGGTCTACGATTTCTCGGAATGGTGACGAAACTCGGTTATCACAAAAACTCATCGACAGCAATCGCCAAAGATCCTTGGAAATCGTAAATCGTTGGAATGGTAAAAGGTGGATTTTTGATTAGAGAGGCGTCTGGTGGGGAGTTTATGGAACCCATGGCCTTTAAAATGCTGCTAGAAGGTGAGTGACGTTGTTGGCACTTCTTTTTTGAGCAATAGGACGCGATTAGAAGTTACGCTTTTCCGAAATTTTGCCGTATTTCTGCGGGCACTTTCCGTTGAACAGCATCTATTAGTCATTGTGCCGAAGTAAAAGATCGAAGGTTCTGCACATTTCGAAACAGCTAGATCATGCTGCTATTTGAGAACCATCCTTGACACTAGAATGTAAGAACGACGTAATAATAATAGGCTGATGCACAATTACTGCGGATTTTTTCACGGCTTTTCTCTAGATAGAATTTGAATATTCAATTCCGAATTCAATAGGAATACTCTTCTTGCGTTTCCTAATAGAAATATGCCCAGAAACTCATCTTCATATACGCCAATTTATGCCCTATTACTTCAAGAAAGTTGGAACGTGACATAGTCATAAAGTGATCTCAACGATAGTCTCGACGATGGAACAGTCAGCCAAAGCCGAAAAAGGAATGGAATCTGTTTCTACGTTCGCCCTATTCAACAACAGAAACTCCTTTGGGTTATCACGTCAATCGTTCGTTGAAAAAATAGCTAACGAACTTTCGACGAAATGGATGACTTGGTGGCCGACATCAAGGCGTGGATCGCCTCCGAGAACCAGAAATTCTTCGCCTGTGGAATTCGCCTGCTTGGCATGTGGGAAGCAGTGCTTGACTTAAATGGTGGATGCGTTCCGGAGTAAATATTTGAGCATGTCTTCACCGAATATTCCTATCGTTTCTTTAAGTGAAATTTGCTGAAAAAAATCCGCAATAATTATGCATCAACCAAATAGTTCTACGGACTTGCAATAAATTTTCTTCTTATTTAGGATTGGAGAGCGAAAGTGTTGACACAGACTATGTAGTTCATCAGCGGCGAAAAGAATGAGAAATATTTCGAAGCATCAAGCTATTTTTGGTATAATAATAACCGCTAAGCATGTACTTTCTTGTGTGTGCTAACCAATTCTTTTAGCCGTTTTGCGCCCTGATTAGGTCGCTTTTGACCCTACAGAACCCCATGCAGCCTTTTCATGGGTCAAGCCATGTATTCCTACCAATGAGAAATCATGGGAACCATTTCCACCGAGAACTATCCCCTTGCCCATGACAATGGCGTATACAGCCCACCTACCCAAAACAACCATGTCTGTCATGAAAATACAGGGTCATACATGGTAACGTGGCTTTTTGGCAAGTAACCAAAATTTCTTTGAAGCCCCATTATGAACTAGCAGCTTACGATCGATAAGTGCCTTTCGCTGATATTTGTTCCATTCAGGTCTTTTTCAAAGCCGGTGTGTTGGCCCATCTCGAAGAGCTTCGCGACCAAGCACTTTCGGTAATCATCACGAAATTCCAATGCGCCTGTCGACACTACCTGGCCATGTGCGATTACAAGAGGAAGCTCGACCAGAAGTGAGATATTTGCTATAAAGGAATACTTGAAAGATCTTAGCAGAACGAAAATACGGTATTCAACATAATAGAAAGAATTAATAGAAATTAATGTAGCAATTCGAAGCGACGTCCTTTATCTACTCTGTCACTCTTCAGGAAAAAAAGCAGGGAGAAATTTAAGTGTTAAAGAGCGAAGTTTCAGGGGCAGAAAGCTGGATGTTATAGTCGTAGAGGTGTGGGTGCAAACCGATGCAACCACCTGGAACTGGCTTCTTGGTGGTTTCTTTAAAGGATAGAGTCGACATTAAACATGTGAGATTTACTGTGGAACAGATACCGGTAAATTGAGAATAGGCAACTACGCCATGTAGGGTTTGGAGAGTTGGGAACATGGTTGATAGTGCCCATCAACGCATGAAATCTAGCTTGAATCTCCAATGAAAAAAGCTGTTCGGATTCATAGTATGCTGCATGTGGAGTGCTTTCAGTGCCCACTATTTTACAAGTTTTCCCTGAGACAGATATTTGAACAGGAATCAGGTTCCCCCAGGCGATTGAATGCATTTATGGCCTGTACATTGACTTGCGCGTGGCCAGGCAATGTACACATCAATGTGTTCATCCTCCGCGAAAGGTATAGTCCCAATAAGTCCACTCCGAAAAGGTGGGAGGCTTAGTGGGCGTATCGACCATGGACTCGACCAGGTTTTAACACTTGGCTCTGAATCACCTCCAAATGGCATTCATTTATGGCCTTCATTTGGCTTTATTTTGGTTAATAAAAAATCGAGTCTGCCTTCCATGACATGGCACGGTAGTAATTATGTAGAGACAGAACGACACTCATTAATAATTCATCGTAAATATTAGAATTATCGCTGCTAATAAGACGTAAGGTCTGGAAGAAGCAAAATCTTCGCCAGAAAATGATCAGCTGTTTTGCAGAGTTGGTCTCATCATCGTGCAACGCAATGTGCGTGCATGGTGTACGCTTCGTACATGGCATTGGTTCAAACTTTACGGTCAAGTGAAACCGCTCATCAAGGGCAACAAAAAGGATGAGGAAATGGAAGCACTGGCGAAGAAGTGGGTGAAATTTTTCAAAGCTCACTGCTCATTCATGGCAGGTTCATTTTCAGACTCAAAGAAGTTGAAGAGAGTCACCAGGCAGAAGAGCGCAGACGTAAAGAGCTCGAAGCGGAAAACGCTCGTCTCCAGGCACGTGGGGTTCACCTTGGGAGATTCTTTGGTAAATAGAAAGATGCGAAAAAATTCCGTTTTATAGGCAGAAAAACAAGCTGTGCTGCTACAGCTGGAGCAAGAACGAGATGGAAACGCAGAAATTGAAGAGCGCAGTGCGAAACTGCTCGCTCAGAAAGCTGACATCGAAAAACAGGTAGGGTGAGGCTTACACACCCGTAGTGTTCTTCAGAACATCCTGTATATCTTGGGCTAACAAGTGAAAATTCAAGGGCACAGTTTACCATAGTTGAGGAGACCTTTCTCGGTTGAAAAGCAAAAGTGTACATGTAGAGGAGTACATCGGAGGCTAACGATGCAAGAGAATCCGTCTACTTCAAGGCTTTTTTAAAGGAGTGGAATTGAGGATGTACGAGATCACCGTGACGGAAATGGCATGGTATTTGGACGAGATTTAACCTGCTCCCATTGCGCAAAGAGATGGCTATATCAAGCCGAGATTGTCCGAAAATGCCTTTCACTGTCGCCATGGGTCACGACAATTTGGTAGAACTTCCTACAGTCCTATGGAGTTTCCCACTTTATCACGACCATGAACTATCACACTCATGAACAACTACTTCCTAGAGTCCCTCGAGATTGTTCAGCCCCTACAGAGTCGTTTTTCGACCTTTTAACGGCAGATAAGGTACAAGGGAGAACCTCGAATTCATACCATAGGGAAATCTCAGACATCATTTTTATCGTGAACTGTGCCTTCAAGCCAGAGTTGGGATAGATGTTTTCGGAGAGAAATATTCCCCAGACCCACTCCACAGAGAGAAGGCGCCCCATTCTCTTCATACGCAGCAGCCGGAATCATCTCTAGATCACGTGGACACCGGGGACAGCTCGCAGGTTGGTATCAGGTCAAAGGAAACTCAAAAGTATGAGAGCTTTCATATTTCAGCTTCGGTCAGGAAACAAAGCCTCTTCCACTTAAACGGCGTGAGGAATTGTATGCAGTTATTTGTAAGCTGTTTACACGGTCGCCGGGAGTGGTGGTTGTCGTAAAAAGGCGATAGGAGAATTCGAGGTTGGAACAGCAATAATACCCTTTAAAATGGAAAAGACCCACTGTTACATCTGTGGCCACTTTGCAAGGTGCTAAGGACGGATTTGACGATGAGCGGTTTCACTGCTGAATGCTTGTTTAACGTTAACAACAACATGGGTTGATGGTTATACAGTAGGGTATCATCATGTACTGAAGAATCATTTTATTGTAGTTCAGTGATTAGGATCACACCTACCCTTTTTTCGTATGGCCCCAGAACTGCATCAGATAGGGAAAAGTCCTCAACAAGTGAACTTTGCGACTTTCTTTGAGCTTGTGCCTACTCATAACTGTCTGAACAATCAGTAATAAAAACCGCACTTACAACTCTTGCAAATAGAGATCTCAGCCATTACGACACGAAAAGTTGTGAGCTGCAACTTCGGGCTTCTTAGGTACTACGTGGCTTCATCCCGAATTGCTAAAATCGCTTCTTTGAGTAAGTGACATTCACAAAGGTTCGAATACGAGTTATCCTCGCCATCACTGACGACCCGCCACCTGCATTAGCTCCACTCAGGAATCGCTCACAGATCACCCCTCAAAGTAGTGCGACCCTAACCAGCCTCACCTATGCATATTGATCACAAGGTAATTTCCTTTCAGAACGCCGACCTGAACGATCAACTAGCCGATCAAGAAGACCGTAACGCAGCACTTGCCAAGGCGAAGAAGAAGGTAGGAGAAGTTCCATGTCGGCTAGTCAAATGCTCTTAAATTTTCCGTAATTCTTGACCTCCCTACTTCACATGATTTTAAAAAGACTTCAAAAGAGTTCAGGTCGAGCAAGACAACGACACATTAAAGAAGACCGTAGCTGACCTTGAGACGACCATCAAGAAACAAGAAGGAGAGAAGCAGGCAAAAGATCATCAGATTCGTAGTTTGCAGGCAAGTCCGCTTCAAAAATGATGGACCAGAAAAAAAGAAGCCTTATTTTTAGGATGAAATTGCATCCCAGGATGAAATCATTTCCAAAATCAACAAGGAGAAGAAATATCAGGAGGAGGTGAGTGATATTTACATCAAGCATGTTGTACTAGAAATGAGAGGAAATCAGTGATCGATACTTTATCGATTTTTGCGGGTCAAAAATTTCCCCACTCAGAGTATGTGCTCGAACAAAGTCAGGGAATTTAAACCAGCTATTGTTGATGGCTTTGTTATCCCTGTTACTCACAATGGCGGCAAACTGATTTTTGGTTTCTGTGAATGTGCTCTGTTACTTTTGCCACGGTTAGCAGCGTCTACAATGGTCTATCAACATTTACTTTTAGTGTATGTTTCACTAAAAGAGAACATGAGAATGGTGTATTAATGCTCATAGATAAAAAGCATAAAGTTACTGGCATTAATCAATCCCGTCTAAGAGATGCACCCCCGCACTCGACTTCCATTCAAGAATCGTAGTGGCGTATTGAGTGCGTATGTGGCCTATACAATGACTTGCGGTGGCCAGCTGATGTACAAGTCAGCGCTTTTATCCTCCCAGACGAATGTGGTACAAATTGACGACCCCAGAGGGATATAAGGCTTGGTTGGCCTAGGCGGGCATCGATCCGGGATTCCAACCCCTGACCGTGCGTGTGAGATAGTGCGCCACTTGCCACTTCCTCACCTCCGCCTATAGAATGAAATTACCTAAATTGACCAATGAGGCGCCGTCTCTGCTATGCAGGATAGCGTCGCCATTGGTCTGCTATGACTGCCCATATTTTTCCTATACCGCTTCTTTCTTCGTCCTATCCATTTCCGTTTTATACACTCGACTTATGAACTGAGGAACTCAGTTATACTGAATATATAAAACGCCTATGGCTTCAGGTGAACCGGAAACTTCTCGAAGATATGCAAGCACAAGAGGACAAGCTAAATCACATGAACAAGATCAAAGCGAAACTGGAATCAACCCTGGACGAGATCGAGGACACCTTAGAACGCGAGAAACGAAATCGTCAGGATGTGGAGAAACAGAAACGGAAACTCGAAGGAGAGCTGAAGGTAAGTGGGAGCGTGAGTTGGAGAACCTCATTGACAAGATAATTCAAGGGCATACAATACTTCGTTTAGATCGCTCAGGAGACAATCGAAGAGATCACACGTCAAAAGCATGACCAGGAGAATATTATCAAAAAGTGAGCTGCTACTGCAATGCGTTTCTTGAAAATATTTTTTCTAGTCTAGGAATTTACTCCTGCGCTCCCAGCAGCCTATCTTCTTGATTACTTCTCTCGAAGTTTACGCTCAGATGTATAGCTAGCTCTATAGTTATCAAGGACAATCAAGCGCTATTAGAAGCTAAAAGCTTTTCAGAAACCGTATCGTGGAAACGCTACTTTTTTTTNTTTTTTTTGAAAGCTGGGGAAATTAAGAATTTATATTATATTAGTACTGCGAATTTCCATTTGAAAAATTTCTGTAGAGGGTTCGGTTGTTACCTAAATTGAACTAAATTGTGGGTGTGGTATCTTCTCCCCAAGAATTTCGTCGTACTTGCACCACCCGATCGCGCGCGCTCGCGCGCTGTGAAGGGAAAGTTTCAAATTCCCAGTGGAAGGGTACTGTAGCAGCCGCGTGACAACTACCGCTTTCTGTGGGATATTGAGGAGAAGTTCCGCCACCCTCTTTTGTCACTTTAAGCCTACTGTCCCCTCCTATCGCACAGTAACATCTAAAAATGACGAGATTAACCCTTTAACTGCAAAAGGAAGGAAGGATCAGTAGCTTACGCTCTTCATGATCCCCATTGGTAGAACGGCTCCTGCATTCAACGTTCACTATAACTCCTTATCAGTTCCTTCCACCGAGTATGACTATAAGCTGTGACCGACACACCCCACATCATCTACCGCCAACATACCGCATTCTATGATAGAGAATAGTGGAAGTTTTTGAGGCCCTACCGTGCATGCTGACCTGAACTTTGAAATAGAAAATGCTGTCGTGCACTGAAGGCTCAATAGGCGAGTAAACAAATAATTATGCCTCAACCAGTGCAGTATATTATGTCCGACGAAGCACCAAGAGGTCTAGGAAATAATGGAAAGATTGTAGCTCAACATTATTAACTACTTCCTTTCACATAATTTGGGAGGAATAAGTTTTTGAGGAAAAAACCAAGCGAGAGGATTTCGTGTGCAAACTCTCTCAGTCCCTTGCATTCAATGCCATTTATTGCAGGAAAGATACCGAGATACACACACTGACGTCACGTTTAGAAGATGAGCAGTCGTTGGTTGCCAAGCTTCAACGACAAATCAAGGAACTTCAATCGCGCATTCAAGAGTTAGAAGAAGAGCTCGAAGCCGAACGTCAGGCTAGAAGCAAGGTGCAACATTTGCATTCGTAGCGCCTTCCCCCTTTCCAGGATGGTTTCTTGTGATTGGGTGTGGTTGCTACAGCTTGCGGGATTGGGCTAGGGTGCGTACAGATAGTGCTTCCGACTGATGACTACTGGGGTGCACCAGTTACACACAAACCTTTGCACATGTTGGGTAATCTGTCTGCTCATTGTTCGCTCTCCAAGTGTGCAGACCATGAATACAGCCAATTAGCTCCTATGACTACAACTAAATGCTTCAATGGACCGTACGTAAGCTTGCTGGTTTGAAGAGGAAGTCGTTTAGGCTGAGAAAGCCAGGTGTGAGATGCAAATGGAGCTTGAAGAGCTCGGTGATCGGCTAGATGAAGCAGGAGGTGCGACCCAGGCTCAAATGGAACTCAACAAGAAGCGCGAAGCCGAGGTGGGAAGGTTTAGCTACCTTCGCTTTATTTCAGTACGTTACAGTTATCTTAATTTAGCTGGCTAAACTCCGTCGCGACCTTGAAGAAGCAGCTATCAATAGCGAGACAGCTATGGCAGCGCTCCGAAAGAAGCACACTGAAGGCATAGCCGAAATCACTGACCAGCTCGATATAGTGCAGAAAATGAGAGCGAAGTGAGTGCAGATATTGCTTTACTGGTGTAAATAATCTCACATGATATACATGAAGATCGACAGAAAGGATATCAAAAGAGTTTATCATGATCTTGCAAAAGCTGAGGTAAATTATACCTGTCTTGCTCTGCTTAAGTACCTCTCTTTCCACCACATATGAATGTCTCCATCCAGCAAACAAGAAAAATGAACACGCGAAGGTTTATTCATCTATCTACATCCACCTCTTACTGTACAGGGTGGGCCAAAATTATGATTACAGCGCGCGCTGACGTTCACTGCAAATTTTTTCTATGTTCATAACAATTCATTGCATTTCTTCCATTTCACAAAGTAGCTTACGTTGTTACCTTGCTAATGATACTTAACTTTGGGTAGATTTTCAACACAATATAAGCGTAACTAGTCCGTGAATTAAACGTAGCTTTGCATTTACAAACACTTTTGGCACGGTGCATCTACAGACGAATTAGAGGAACAAGGCAGGTATTGCATTCAACCATAAGACGCTCTCGAGAGTTGGGAACAACTGCAGATAGGAGTGGTGAACCAAGGAAAACTGTGGTTATATTTAGGGGAAGTTTCAAGAAAGCAGGGCAAAGGTTTACGTAGGAGC